CTGCCAAAAGAACTAACAGATCTGTGTTGGAAGAAGTGCAGCCAGAGTGCTCCTTGGAGGCCAGGATGGCCAGACTTTGTGTCCCATACTTCAGATATATTGTCAGGAGGGATCAGTCGCTGGAGAAGGATATCATGTTTGGTAGGGTGGAGGGTCAGAGTAAAAGAGGAAGACCCCCAGCGAGATGGATTGGCAAAATGGCATCATTAATGGACTCGAGCGTGGCAATGATAGTGAGGTTGGCCCAGGATCAGGCAGTGTTTCATTGTGTTGTGCATAAGATCACTGTGCGTCGGTACCAATTCGATGACACCTAACAACAACGGCAGCCAAAGGGGGAAGTAACATACGAGAGGGAGGTTGGCAAAGGAAAGATGCAAGTAGTAGAAGACACAGGGAGGAATAAATAGAAAGACATACTGTCAGCTGATGATGGTCCTTGAATGGGATTGTAATCGTTGTAATGAAACAAAGTATTGGATTTGTTTGAATGTAAATCTGATGATTTGCTCTGTAAACCTTCACTCGATTCACAATGAAAAGTGTTTTTTTTTAATTTTTTCCGTTTTAATAATTTTTGTGTTTACTATTTCATGACATTAATGATGTGTTATCCCTCACCTCTATCCTTTCCCACATGTTCTCCTTCCCCTTAACAGAAACTCAATGTCCCTTTACCAAGAACTCCCCTTTTCCCACTTAGCAACTCTGGTCTCCAGGCATTTGCCTACCCCTGGGATTTTATTTGCATGAGATCAGACAGTATCTGTCTTTTGTACCTGACTTCTGTTACTCGGCATGTTCTCAAGACTCATCCTTGTGTGGTGTGTATGAAGACTTCATTCCTTTTTCACAGTGGAATCATATTCCACTGTGAGGAAGGACCACAGGGTGTTGATCCATTCCTCCTTGGATGGACTCCTGATTTGTTTATCACAGAGCAGAGCAGCAAAAGCAGTGTGCGAAATCTCAAGCCAATTAAGCAAGAGTGGAGCCAGGAATCCGGTGTGTTGAGATTCTAGGACATGGTTGTTTTCCTCAGCCCTTGGCTGTCTGTTAGAAGGAAACAAATCACAACAGGTTTGTTGAGATTTAATTAACATACTGTACACTTCACCTCATATGGATGCGAAAGCTGGACAGTGAATAAGGAAGATCGTAGAAGAATTGATGCCTTTGAGTTGTGGTGTTGGAGGAGAATACTGAAAGTGCCATGGACTGCCAAAAGAACCAATAGATCTGTTTTGGAAGAAGTGCAGCCAGAGTGCTCCTTGGAGGCCAGGATGGCTAAACTTCGTCTCTCCTACTTTGGACACATTGTCCAGAGAGAACAGTCGCTGGAGAAGGATGTCATGCTGGGTAAGGTGGAGGGTCAGAGAAAAAGAGGAAGACCCCCAATGAGATGGATCAGCCAGGTGGCATCATTGATGGACTCAAGTGTGGCAGTGGTAGTGAGGTTGGCCCAGGATCGGACATTGTTTTGTTCTGCTGTGCATGGGGTTGCTATGAGACGATTCCGACTCGATGGCACCTGACAACAACAACAACAACACTTCACCTATTTAAAGTACAAGTCAGTGGGTTTTCTGTATATATTCCCAGAGTTGTGTAATTCTCACAATCCAATTTCAGAAAATGTTCTTTATTCCCAAAAAGAAACCTGTGCCCATGATCTCCTCATCCCCCTCCCATCCTCCCCAACCCTTAGCAACCACTAATCTACTTTCTGTTTCTGTGAGTTTCCTGTTCTGGATATGTTATATAAATAGAATCATTTAAGGCACTGTAGTCTTTTGTGTCTGTCTTCTTTCATGGAGAACGATGTTTTCAAGACTCATTCATGTTGTAATGTGTATAAGAACTTCATTCCTTTTTGTTGTTGTTGTATGTTTTTGTGAACTGAGTGATAGTTTACATGGAGAACATCGGTTTTACACCATCGTTTCATTGTAATGATGACAATCTCTTCCATGCATCATTATTCAGCAGTATTTGCTTCTATTCTCTGTTTTGTTTTGTCTTTTGGAGGGGGGATGTATGCAAAAAACACTCAGGAAGATATAATCATTTAAATAACCAAAGAGCACATTCTGCAAGCCTGCCTCCTGGCTGCCAGCACTCAGTCTTTCTCTTTCCATGAGTCTAGAGTCCTCAGCTGCTCCCTCTCTCCATGTCCTGATCTCTGCCTCCATCTCTGGTGTCGCTGCTTCTCTGGATAGAGTCCCCCCTTCCACTCATGCTCTTCTCCTTTGATGGTCCAAGGGTCCTCTGTTCCTGGACTGTAAGATTAATTATTCCACCCTTTTTGTTACAAAATGTCTACCTTTACAGTTGTGACAGTTACAATTAGTCGTGATAACAATTATGATTGAATCATAAGGATCTTATCCCCATCTCTTTTCACCAGACCCGTCTAGACAATATGAAAACTATTAAGTGGGGACGCTACCTTCTCACGTACACTCTGAAACTAAACTCCCTCTTGAAAACTTGTAAGCCATTCATTTCGTGCCTTTATTGCCTCTTCATTTTATATAGCCAATGTCTAAGTTGCCTATCTCTATCTATCTTGTATACAGAGGGGATAGGATTGATACCTGATGTGTTCATTCCTTTTTATGGCTGAGTAATTTTCCATTGTGTGGATGGAACACTTAGTGTTTCTCCATCATCTGTTGATGGATACATGTATTTTCTCCACTTCTTGGCTATTGTAAACAGTGCTGTAAAAAAACGTTCACATACAAGATTTTGTGTGGACACACTTCCAATTCTCTTGGAAGGCATCTAGGAGTGGCATTTCTTGGTCACATGGTAACTCTATTTTTAACCTTTTGGGGAACTACCAGACTGTTTTCCATAGTCACTGCATTTGTTCCTGATGTCAATTTCAACTGATGGCAATCCCATGTGTGCGGAGTAGAACTGTACTTCACAGTGTTTTCAAGGCTAGGACCTCTCAGAAACAGATGCCCAGGCTGGCATATGAAACCCCTCTGGGTGAATCTGAACTTCCAACATTTCACTCAGTACCCAAGCACTTAAATTGTTTACACCAACCAGGCAGGTCTCCTGGCAGTTGTACCACCTCTTGGAAATTTACAGGATTGATTAATTTATTCAGTGTGTGTCTACCTAGTGTGGGTACAGAGCATGGTTTCTCTGCAGGATAAGCACTGGATCACAAATCACAAAGTAGCTGGTTCAAGTCTACCAGCTGCTCCACAGGAGAAAGATGAGGTTTTCTGTGCCAGTAAAGATTTACAGCTTTGGAAACTGTACAGGATCGCTATGAGTTGGAAGCTACTCAATGACGCAGTGGGTACTTTCCTGCTGTTGTTGTTGTTGTTATGTGCTGTGGAGTCGGTTCCGACTCATAGTGACCCTGTACAGGGTTTCCGAGGCAGTAAATCTTTACGGGAGCAGAAAGTCTCCTCTTTCTCCAGTGGAACAGCTGGGTACTGTCTAGGTGCTAAAAATACAGTAATGAACCAATCAGGTACATTATGGCGCAAACTGGGAAAACGGAGCGTTTGGGACAGGGTACAAATTTGAAAAGGACTCACTGACAAGGTGACATTTGAGCAAAGAATGAAGGCGTTAACTCTTAACTGGGGGAAGCGCCTTGAGGCCGGATTGGGCCTGAAAAGTTGGAGGAACAGTCAAGAGGCCCATGCGGCTGGAGCAGAGCTAGGGAGAATAGTTTAGGGTCACCCAGTGACCACCACTGCCACCCTGGGAGCAGGGGCAGCCCCAGTCCAGCCCACATGGAGAGGGCCAGACTGTTTGTTGCCTGGGGTCTCCAAGTGCAGAGACCCCCTGTCCTTCTGAGCCTTTCAGTCTCACAGCTTTCCTTGCCATCTTGTTCGTATTCTTCCAATTTAGCAGCATTCCTGTTCTGGGCGTGGGGCAATGTCCCCATTGTGCAAGAGGGAAAGTCGAGTCACCGCGAGGCATTAGGACCCTAAGTGGAGAGAACAACAACAGGAAAAGTCCTGCCCCACAAGGTTTTGCAGGATGCTAAGAAAAGGTCCCACCTTGTCCAGGTGCTGAGAGCTCCCTCCAAGGACCTTAACTCCTTTCTCTAACAACCTACAGCCGTCCCCATGGCAACCCGGGCGGGGCCCGACCTGGATCCGTGGGTCCTCTGATCTGGCAGGGGCGGGGAGACTCGCCTTCAAACCCAGTAGGAGGAGTCCCTCCGCCGGTCTTACTGGCCCTTTAAGAGGCTCCGCCTGGCGAGGCCGCCTGCCAAAGCACTCTGATTGGTCCCGATAGCAGCCGAGCGCAGCCGAACTTGACGCACCGCCCGCAGCCTTCCCGCCCACTTTCCTCGCGGCTCCGCAGTGTCCTCAACCAATCGCCGACCGGCGCGCCGACCTTCACCTGCATGGTTACGCCCTAAAAAAAGGCTTTGTCCAATCGGTGAGCTGTGGAGAGCCTCATTATCATGGCGGGGGCGGGGCGCGGGCCGGCTGACGGGGGCGGGGCGCGGGGCGGTTGGTTGGAGCGTCGCAGCAGCCGAGAGCTCCGGGAAAGTTTCTTTGGAGGTGAAAACAGCCGCGGAACTCTGGGCCAGGAAAGGGGGCCGGGTCGTGGGGGTCCCGACACCGAGGCGGGGCCTTTCCAGGGCCGGGGTAAGAGGACCCGGGCCTCCCGGGGGACGATCGCCCAACAAAGGATCCCGGGGCGGCCGCCCTCGAGGCCTCCCTCCCCCCGGATCCAGCCCCCGCCAGGCGTCTCGGGTCCAGCATTCCCAGGGTTACGATCGGAGAGCCTCGGTCGCGATCCGCCTGGGGGCGCCCCTCACCTGCGTCCCCGTGTCTGTTACAGGTCCGGCCAGGAGCAGCCATGTCCCACGGCCCTAAGCAGTCCCCCGCGGCAGCCGCGTGAGTGCAACAGCCCCCAGCCCTCCCCGATGCAGCCCCAGTCCCGATTCACCCATCTGAAGTCTGCAACCCCGGCCCCAGAGTCTTGGTCTGGACTCTGGGACTCTCACGGGCCCGACCCTGCCTCGTCCTTACCCCTACCCGGCGAACCTCAACTTATCCCCCTAGCTGTGCCCTACCTTCAACAGCGCCTCCCGGGATCCATGCCCCATAGCTGTCAGCCCTGCGGTTGTTGTTGTTAAGTGCCGTCGAGTCCGTTCCGATCCATAGTGTCCCTGCATAGGGTTTCCAAGGAGCGGCTGGTGAGCTTGAACAGCCGACCTTGCAGTTCAAATCGACATTTCAGTCCAGCACATTAACCCACAGCGCTACACCAGGACTCCTGTGTTTGGTGTCCCCTAAAAACTCGGGGGGTCGGGGTGGGTCAGGAAGAGTCTAAGGGTGGTGTATGACCCTGGTGTTCTGTGACTGCAGGCCAGCAGGTGGCAAGGCTCCGGGCCAGCACGGAGGCTTCATGGTGGCCGTCAAGCAAGAGCGCAGCGAGGGCCCAAGGGTCGGAGAGAAGGGACCCCATGAGGAGGAGGTGAGAGTCCCTGGGTCCCGCCTGAAGCCTTGAGTGCAGCCCCCAAGCTGGAGTTGAATCGGTTGTGGCTCCGCCCACAGTCCAGATTTCCTGGCACAAGCGAAGGCCCCGCCCCATGTCCTAACCACACCCCTAACTGGTCCAGGCCCCGCCCAGTACCCTGGGCTCACTTCCCCTTGAGAGGGAACTTCCCATCATCCTGTGGGCCTTTTCTCCAGGAATAAGCTACGCCTACTTTGAGAACCCACGTCCATAACAAGCTAGCTCAGTCCATGGAAAAAATCCAGTCACCATTACCTACAGGCCAATCCTAGTTAGGAGCCCTCAGTGTCCTAACCCCTGGCCAGACTTTATCTCAAGCCCTTCTGGGTCCAACCTTTTCACTAGACCATGCCCACTCATCTGGCCCCACCCACTTCTTCCCAGGCCTGCCCTCCAGGCCCCTCTCAACTCCTTGACATGTTTCTGCAGCCGGTGAAGAAGCGCGGCTGGCCCAAGGGCAAGAAGCGAAAAAAGATTCTGCCTAATGGACCCAAGGCACCTGTCACAGGCTACGTGCGCTTCCTGAATGAGCGGAGGGAACAGATCCGCACGCGCCACCCTGATCTACCTTTCCCTGAGATCACCAAGATGCTAGGTGCTGAGTGGAGCAAGCTGCAGCCGGCGGATAAGCAGGTGGGCCTTCTAAGACCCTTCAAGCCCTTCCCTTAAGTCAACATTCTAGGACAATCATACCCCCAAAGGATGGGAACAGGGTTCTTCCCACTAGATAAGTGACCACCTGCAGCTTGTTGGCTTAATGGTTAAGTGCTGGGCTGATAGAGGAAAGGTTAGCAGTTCAGACCCACCCAATGACTTGATTTCAAAATGGCAAAATCGTCAAGGAAATGTAAACCCCCCCCAAAAAAAAAATCACCCCACCCCTAGTTTGTACCTCCAAGTGGGAGTCATAACAGGCATAAAAGAATGGAGGAAGCTGCCCTGCCCGGGCTTCAGCGCAGTCTGGAGTTGGGGGAGGCGATCAGAGTAGATTAAGGTTTTTGTCACACTTGAAAGTTGGGGGTGTGGAATGGGAGACTGGGGTCAGGTTGGAGAGCTCACAAATGTCCTGAGTGTAAGTTGAGGAGTGGGACTTAGTCTCAAGGGCAGTGAGCTAAGACAGGTTCAGTAGTGAGAACTAAGCAATAGTGACGACCAAGCACCCTTGCCCTGCCCATGCCAGCGGTACCTAGACGAGGCCGAGCGTGAGAAGCAGCAGTACATGAAGGAACTGCGGGCGTACCAGCAGTCGGAGGCGTACAAGATGTGTGCCGAGAAGGTCCAGGAAAAGAAGATCAAGAAAGGTGGGATGGGGTACAATTTAGCCAGGCAGGGCCTCCCCTAGGCCACTGACTTTGTGTGGGCGCAGTTATGATGGGACTTTGTGTGGGCGCAGTTATGATGGAGAGGTGCTGGGGACGGAAAGGAGGGTGTTCCAAATATACAGGATCAGAGGAGGCTGGGAGGCTGACCTTGTCCTCTTCCCTCCCCCACCAGAGGACCCAGGCTCAGGGCTCATAAACACCCTGTTGAACGGACACAAGGTAAGAAGTGCCCCTTCTCCAAAAAGTGTACCGGGATCTTCACTTCTGGGTGGAAAGGAGGTATGTGGGGCACTTTTGATCATTCAGGCCAATGGTGGCCCAAGGAGATGTCCCCAAGCTAGGGGGCATCTCAGGAAGCGGTGTGGCTACCCTTTAAAATGAGTTGTTCCTTGCCCCTTCACCCCAGGGCGGGGACTGTGAGGGTTTCTCCACCTTTGACGTCCCCATCTTCACTGAAGAATTCTTGGACCAAAACAAAGGTGAGCGCAGCGTGGCCTCCCTCTCCATCCTCCACTCCCTGGTTTGTAGGGGCAGACCCAGTAAAGTGGGGGGTGAGCCAAGGGAAGCCAAAGCAAGTGGGGAGCAGTGGATGGAGGGCAGGGAATTTGCCAACTAGAGCCCTCCCCGCTGGTCCCCTGCAGCGCGGGAGGCGGAGCTACGGCGCCTGCGGAAGATGAACGTGGCATTCGAGGAGCAGAATGCGGTTCTGCAGCGGCACACACAGAGCATGAGCAGCGCACGGGAACGACTGGAGCAGGAGTTGGCGCTGGAGGAGCGGCGGACGCTTGCGCTGCAACAGCAGCTGCAGGCGGTGCGCCAGGCGCTCACAGCTAGCTTTGCCTCGCTGCCGGTTCCTGGTGCGGATCCCTGGCCCAGCTCCTGGCTGACCCCCACTTTCTACTATCTGTCTGTTAACCCTCCCGTCAACAACCTACTTTCCGTCTCTGGCCATCCGAGATTCTGTGCTCTATGCCCCCCACCTCACAAACCCCTTACTCCAAGGCCTCAAGCTGGGCACCTGACCACTTGAACCCTGTCCTTGGTGGTCATGAGAGAGAGCCTAGTTCAGGCCACCTCACGTCTGCCATCGCTGACCCCTGGCCCTAACCATGGTGCTCTCATCAAACCCTTGACATCACTCTCTGATGTCCCACCTTTGATGACCACCAACCTCCCCCTCAACTCCACCCCCCAACCCCCGGCCCCTCTGTCCGCCCCTCTTAATAGCCAGTCCCTCATCTCTACCTCTTTTGTTGTTGTTAGGTGCCATCGAGTCGATACTGACTCATAGTGACCCTATGCACAGCAGAATGAAACACTGCCCGATCCTGGGCCATCCTCACTATTAGTGCTATGCTTGAGCCCATTGATGCTGCCACTTGGCCAATCCATCTTGCTGGAGTCTTGCTCTTTTTCTCTGACCCTCCACCTTACCAAACACGGTATCCTTCTCCAGCGACTGGTCCCTCCTGACAGTATGTCCAAAGTATGAGAGACAAAGTTGGGCCATCCTGACCTCCAAGGAGCACTCTGGCTGCACTTCTTCCAACACAGATCTGTTGGTTCTATGGGCAGTCCATGGTACTTTCAATATTCTCCTCCAACATCATAACTCAAAGGCATCAATTCTTCTACGATCTTCCTTATTCACTGTCCAGCTTTCGCATACATATGAGGTTATTGAAAATACCATGGCTTGGGTCAGGAGCACCTTAGTCCTCAAGCTGACATCTGTGCTCTCCAGCGCTTTAGGATTACAATTATTCTGCTATCCTTGACCCTGCCTCCTGATAATCTTGACTGCCCTCCTAACTTACCCCTGGTCCCATGGGTGGATTCCCTGATAGTCTCCCCATGATCCTACATACACTGCCCCCTCTCTCCCTGAGACACTACCTCCGCTCTGCTGATACCCCATTCTGTGGACCCCCCAGGCACAGGCGAGACACCCACACTCAGCACCCTGGACTTCTACATGGCTCGGCTGCATGATGCCATCGAGCGCGACCCTGCCCGGCACGAGAAGCTTATCGTCCGCATCAAGGAAATCCTGGCCCAGGTCGCCAGCGAGCACCTGTGAGGGTCTTGGCCCCTGTGAATCTGGATCACATAAGCCGGTGCTGTGGGATGGCCTTCTCCCCGCCTGTCATGAAGAGGAGGCTCCGGGGCCAGCCTGATCCTGCACCTTGGGGGTACTAGCCCCCCCATTTAAATTTCTATAGCTCATGCACACACATACACACAGACATTGGCTTTTAACTCCGCATACCTCCATACCAAGAAAAGCACTCGGCCACACACTACACGTATGGGGTACAGACCTTACAAATGTGGCCGCTGGACCCAGGACACGGGAGTGGGGTGGGGGCTGACGCTACAGATTCTCCCTACCACTCTGGGTCTTCAGGACACAGGACAGCCAAAAGCCACAACATACCCGAGGCCACACTCTGCTTGCCACAAGTACACAGCATAGGTTGGGGCCTCTGCCTGTTACCCATCCAGCATGCCAGAGTGTGTATGTGGGAAGGAGGTTGGTGCTGATCAGCCCCATCGCACCCATTTGAGGGACCTTTGTAAAAATCTAGACTTTTTCAATAAAAACAAGCAGAATTTTGAGTCTGAGGCTTGTGAGTATGTATTTTGGGCAGTGAAGGGACCAGAAGGTAACACTCAGGATCCCCTGAGCATGACAGGCCTGGGAGAGCACTGAAGCATGGCTGGTCCCATTTCTCAGATGGGAAAACTGAGGCCCAGACTTGAGCCAGTTCACATAGCAAGCACTATCTTTCCCTATCCCTGTGAAATCCGTGCCTTGTGGACTTGACTTCTGTTGGGTTGAGGAGGCCGGAGAAAGGGCCATTCCATCCTTGAACTTGGTCGGCCTGACCCTTTTCTTTCTGGAAGAGTAAATGAGGCAGGCATGACTTCACTGGTCAGATTTTTAAAAAACTTGTACAAAAATACATAAGGGACCACTTTCAACCAAATGTACAATTCAGTAGCATTTAGTACATCCGCAATGTTGGGCAACCATATCTATCTGGTTCCAGAATGTTTTCGTTACCAACCCCCTTAAAAAGAAAATTTAAAAGCCCTGGACCCATTACCAAACCTCTGGTGGCGGAACAGTTAACACTTGGCTGCTAATTTGAATCTCCAAAGTTCAAACCCACTTTAGTGGCTCCTTGGGGGCAAGACCTGGCTATCAGTTGCTTTAGTAAAGATTTGTTGCCGTTGTTAAGTGTTGTTGCCATCCTGTACAGCGTTTCCAAGGAGCGACTGGTGGGTTAGCAGTCCAGTGCTTATCCTACAGTGCCACACCAGGACTCCTAGAAAGCCCTATGGGGAATTTGTGAGTGGTTGTATAGCAAGACACGTATGCTATATATGTGCATGAGGGTTTATGAGTACATGCAGGTGTGTGTACAGGTGTGCATGTGTGTGTACAGGTATACACATATGTATGTGCTGTGTATATATTATATATAATAGAGCACATAGGCAACACAGTTATAGAAATTTCTTAGATACATCCAAACATCTCAAAGGATTGATTTACCGAGTTTAAAAGCTCAGTAGAAGAATTGATGCATTTGAGTTACCGTGTTGGAGGAGAATATTAAAAACACCATGGGCTGCCAGAAAAACAAACCAATCTGTGTTGGAAGAAGTGCAGCCAGAGTGCTCCTTAGAAGCCAGGATGGCCAGACTTTGTCTCTCATACTTTGGACATACTGTCAGGATGGACCAGTCCCTGGAGACGGACGTCATGCTTGGTAAAGTAGAGGGTTAGAGAAAAAGAGGAAGACCTCCCAATGAGATGGATTGGCACAGTGGCGGTAGCGATGGGCTCACACGTAGCAACGATAGTGAGGTTAGCACAGGACTAGGCAGTGATTCGTTCCGTTGTGCATAATATCGCTATGAGTCAGAGCCAACTTTACGGCACTTAGCAACAATAACAACAACAGTTTGGGGGCATATCGAGGCCAGTTGACGGAACATAATTCATTAACATAATATTCTACATCCTAGTTTGGTGAATAACGTCGGTTTGTAAAAAGCTTTCAAGTAGCCATTTAGAATGTAGCTATTAGTTTCTTTCCATCTAGAGCAAAGGAGATTGGGGAGGGAAAAATAAAAAAGAATTACTCCACCGTGTTTTTTCAGTGCACAAAATAATAAGAGAGAGGAAAAAAGAAAGCATACGGAACATGAAGCAAATACTGTTGAATAATGATGCACAGAGGGGATTGTAATCATGGCAATGAAACAAAATACCGTAGGATGAATACAAAACTGATGTTGTCCCATGTAAACTATCACTCAATTCACAATAAAAGCTTAAAAAAAAAAAAAAAATTCCTCCACAGGATTAAAGATCCACATGAAAACCACAGCCCCTCCTAGCATGAGACCAGAAGAAGTAGATGGTGCCCAGCTCCCACTATCAATTGTTTCTGACCTGAGACACAGTGGAAAATCCCTGTTAGAATGCGGGGAGGGGAAGTCAGAACAAAACTCAAATTCATCAAAAAGACCAGACTTACTGGATTGATGGAGACTATGGGACCCTTTTAATCTGGAACTGAAGCCACATTCAGAAGTCACCTTTTAGCCAAATGATAGATGTTAAGTGCCATCCTGTCAGTTCTAGCTCAGTATAGACACCCAGTATAGAGTTTCCAACGAGAGGCTTGTTTGAAGCTCCGACCTTGTGGTTAGCACTCTAGTGCTTATCCTAGGGCATCGTACCAGGATCTCAATAGGTCAAAAAGAACGCGCTCCCTAGAGCAATCAACTATAGGAGATCAAACGGGCAATGTTTAGCATTTGCACACAAGCAAAACTGAAAGCCCAGGTAGGTAAGGCAGCACTTGATTCTTCTTGGATCAACTATCAACACTCATGGAAGCAGCAGTCACAAAATCAAACGACGTATTGCATTAGGCAAATTTTCTGCGCAAGACCTTTTTAAAGTGTTAAAGAGTAAAGATGTCAGCTTGAAGACTAAGGTGCTCCTGACCCAAGCCATGGTATTTTAAATAACCTCATATGCATGTGAAAGCTGGACAGTGAATAAGGAAGACCTTAGAAGAATTGATGCCTTTGAGTTATGGTGTTGGAGGAGAA